CGTGCACACGCTTGCCCACGTGCGCGCGCACGTGCGCGTGCCTGGCTGTGCTCGGGGTGCTGGGTAAAGATAAGGCCTGCCTCACGGCTGAGAGCGAGAGAGACGGTGTGTGTAAGCTCTTCAAGCCTTATCCCAACACACCTCCCACCCCCATCACCCTCCTCTCTCTCTCTCTCTCTCTCTCTCTGCCACACACACACACACACACACACACACACACACACACACACACACAGACACACACGCGCGCACACACGAGGGGATTAACCCCGTCATGTACCATTTCAATGGGCCAGCTTTGGAAACACACACACACGCAGGATTAACTCTTGTGTGTCCATTTCCACGGGTGTTTCTTAGCCCCTCTCTCTCTCTCTCCGGTCGTGTCAGCATGGACCGTTCGCGTTGCCATGGCGACGGGGGCCCAGTGAACGTAAGATAGGCAAATCCACATAAGTCACCCCACAACAGACACTCTAAGCCCACTATTGACGACACCTCCCCCTGGTGCCAGACGCACAAAGATGCTGCCAGAGGACTGACGGGGGACTCGTGAGCTGTGAAGTGCTCGTGAAACAGGCTTACTCCGGTCAGAAAAACTCTGAGAGACAGACCCCGGAGCAGATTATCCTCTCTACACGTCCGAGAGGCCTCTTTATACCTCCGTACATCGGGGTCTGCACGAAGGTCCACGGCAGAATCTCTGACCTCGTCTCAGAGGCGTTAAAGGCTTTAGAGTCTCAGAGGAAAACGGGCTCCAAATGTACATTTTTCTGGAGAAATTATAAACTCAATTCAATTTTATTTATATAGTGCCACATCACAACAACAGTTGTCTCACAGCGCTTTCCAAACAGAGCAGGTTAGACCCTACTCTGAAGTAAATTACAGAAACCCAACAATTCCCACCGTGAGCAAGCACTAGGCGACACAGGCGAGGAAAAACTTCCTTTTAACGGGCAGAAACCTCGAGCAGAACCAGCCGAAACCAGCCAAAACAAAAACAGTAACTACTCTATCTAAGAGGGATTAACTGGTCTTTGGTGTCTGGAAAATGTCAGAAAAATGTCAAAGTTTGTTGCCGAGGCCTTCGATGAGTCGGCCTTTATGAACCGGGTCTCTGTGAACAGTTGATGAGCGCACAGAGGAATAACATGCACTCTCATGTGACCGTTAAAATTATTAAAATGAACTTATTTAAACTCATTTTGAAAGTGAAAATGATATTATTCTGTTCTCCAGTGTAGCGCTTCTGTGACCAAAGTGAGACGTTTGGACATAGACAGCATTATTACCAGTAGTACCAGTACTACCAGTCCCCCCCCTAAACTGGGGTTTAGTTTGTGGCCGGGTCATCTTTGAATAATGTTTCCCTCTCTCTCTGCACAGGCCTGTTTTTGGGCGTCTTTGGGCATTAAGCACAGAGGGAAAAGTCATTGAAAAGATAGGATCTTTTCTGCCGACGGTTTATCAGATATCTGTGTGATACTGTTTGTAAAAAATAAGATGACGTCCACATAAGACTGCTGCGGGTGCACTAGTTATACTCTTGTTCTTTTTATATCCCAACTTTGGCCATATGGGTGAGATCTCACTGGCTGTGATCTGAATATCTGATTATAATCTGAGGCGATTTAAGCAGATTTAGAGGCCTGTGGGATTCTCCTTTTGGCTTAGCATTCTTATGTGTGTTTATGTGCGTGTGTGTGTGTTTATGTGTGTGTGTGTGTGTGTGTGTGGATAAAAGGGGAGAGAGTCCCAATGTTTACGGACTAACTGATCCACACTGGAGACTTTTGAGTGTACAAACTGCAAAGACACAA